AATTCAGAAATGACGAATGGTTAAGATGATAATGTCGTCATCAACGTTTTGAGGAAAGAAAGATGAGGGGTGGGGGTCAGAAAAAACATTTATTTTGACTATGATGACGTCATCAAAATGTAAAAACAATATATGAAAGAGAATTATCTCAGCAATAACATACTCAAAGTTGGGAGACGATAGACCAAGGATAAGCGAGATACGCTCAAATGCGTATTTTCAAAAATGACGTCATCGGTATAATTCAGTTTAATTGAATTCAGATGGCAATATGATGACGTCACAATGTCTGATCAGCCATTATGATCTATAAAATCATATCTACAACTCATGTGCTTTCGGAATATGTAATAAAAATTGGAGGTCACCTTTCATCCTATGGAGCTATAACTGATTAGATATAGGCCTGATTTTAGCACATTTTCACTGTATATCGGCACAAAAGACCGCAAACATCGCACGTCATGACGCATGTGCGCATGGTATTGTCACAAAATATTGATTTCTGATATGAGATATAAGTATCAACTCTCAATGACAAACGCCTGTTGGTGAGGGACTGATTATCATTCATAATATTTATCATTTGGCAATTGGTTAGGCTGATATGATCGATTATAAAAACGCAAAATTGCGCGTATATGACGTCACTTCCAGGCCAAGCTAAATGTTTGTTGAAGCGTGCATGTAAGGATTTCGTGCCAATTTTGAGATATCGTGCTAACAAGATATGGGGAGAAACGTAGAATAAAGAAAAAAGATGATGATCTCTGACAATAACAAGAGGTGATCCGCTCGTGAAGCGGATCACCAATCATGATGATGATGATAATGATCTCTGACAGAAACAAGAGGTGATCCGCTCGTGAAGCGGATTACCAATAACTACAAGGTTTGTGGGCGTAAATTTCCTTAATACGAATTAAGGGTACTAGCACCCATTGACGTCTAAGTCGAGAAATACGGGTAGCTGAAGTTTTTCTCGAAAATCTGACTACGAAACCATATCGATATTTCACGTTCCACTTCTGACTAACTCTGAGTTGTGCTTCTCACACGCCGCTGGGGGCGGCGTACCGGGAACCCTGCGTCTAGAAAAGTAAGATATCTTACTTTTCTAGACACCCACATATTTCAACTAATCAAAGGGCTGAACAAAATTTACTGCAGTGAGTTTAAGTTACCGCCGCGAGTTTAGCGCCCTCCATGCATATTTTGACCAATCAGAGGCCAGAGAACTCGCTGTAGTAAATTTCTAATTGAACTGCAGTTCAAGATCCGAATACTGAGCGATAGCGCATTCCATAAACGCTTTACTACGATGTATTTGATTCGTCGATGAATTATTGAAAGTTTCCAACATTTATAAAACTTGTCTTACATTAAGTGCTCTAAAGCTTTAGGCCTAGTTCAGACTAGGTGGATAAAACCGACTCAACTCACCGGCAGGGGTGACGCCAGGATTTTCCCGACGGAGAGCCGAGGTCCCCGACGGGGGGCCGATTCCCCCGACGAAGGGTCAGATTTCTCCGACGTAAGCAAAGTGGGCGTGGTCGAGCTTCGATTAAAAGGCTTCGAAAATGGTCTAGGGGGAAAGCCCTCGAAAATTTTGACAATTTAGGGGTTTCAAAGTCTTGTTTAATCGATTTTAGAGTCTACTAAATGTAGAAAATACATATAATGTTTTTTTCTCCCCAACGAATTGTTCTTTTTTTCCCCGACGGGGGGGGGGCCAGCTCTCCCCGACGGAGGCCCTGGCCTCCGGTCCCCCTCCCGCTGGCGCCAACTCTGCTCACCGGGTTTGTCCACCTGCCAGCAGTCTGAACTAGGTGGCTTATCTCAAGATGGGCAGTGTTTCTATAGTAACTAGGCCTGGCGCGCCACCGTATTTAACTTTCCTAATGCCTCTTTCCCTCCTTCACGAATTTTGCTACGACAGAGCACGATTTTTCAAATTTGGAAAATCGCAATGGCGTCATCGTAAATGTCGTGGTCAAAAATAATTCATTGTATTGCATCGTATACTGGATCTTGATGTCATCGTGATGGAGCACGATTTTTTTTGGAATGTTAAAAAAAATCGTGCTCAATCGTTGCCGTGAAAAAGATCTTGGTCTACCGCAGCGGCATCGTGTGAGTGCCGTAACGTTGTCGTCGTTTGTCCTGACTGTGTCTTGTACATTTGTACTACCAACACCACCTACGACAAGCCAAGACGTCGCTGCGGTGCTGAGACGATTAGATACGATGCCACCATGATACCTTCAAGACCGTGGTTTATATCGCGTGGCTCTATGTCAGGAAAGTTTTTCAACACACTGAACAATTCCTTGCTCACTTGAAGGAAGTTTCTGAAGCCTCTTGGGTCTTCTCTTTTAACTCTAATATTAAGTTTTCATACTGTCTAACAAAAATATGGACGACGTAATAGCCATGGCTGTACCCATTCACTTCGTTTAGGCCTATGCATTCGACGTGACCGACGCTTACTCTTGATTATCAAAACTGTAGCAGCCAACAGATTTTCTTCTTCTATAGCAGCATCTTGCAAATCTTGATGGTGTTTGAACAGTGCGCTTTTTTGTCATGTCATGTGATGTTTGTTTTTGTGATGTGCGTCTTGTTAAATCGTGCTAACGTCGTGCTTGAGTCTTTGTAAAATCGTAGTGACGTCGAATTAAAATTTTGATAATTCCTAGTACGTCGTCACCAATCGGAACTCTATCGTTATAATTCGTAAAAATGTCGTAGCACTATCGCATTAGTGCCGTAATGCATCTTGACTGCGTCCTAGTAGCGTCTTGATGAAACGTAAAACTTGAACTTTTTGAGTTCGAATCACTACGATAGAAAGCGATTTTAAAACTTTTTAAAATCGTGCTCCATCTTAGCAAAAATCGTGAATGTGGGAAAGGGGCATAAGCCGGGCTTTAATCGTTGCGGGGGGGGGGGGTGTCTTGTATTGACTTCGGGTAACAAAATGACCAATCAGCATTCAATTACGTACGCTGTGTTGAGCGAGCGTACGTTTCGCGAGAAATTTTTGAAACACGTTTCCTGGTTACGGTTCATTATTACCGTATGCAAATTCTCGCCTGGATAATCCCGCTAGTCTGAACGCCCGGCAAAGTTAAGCCGGGCTTAACGTTGAGCCGGGCTTAATTCAAGCCTGGTTTATCTCCAAGTCTGAACATAGCCTTAAACGGTTGAAATAAAATACTTCTATACTCCTATTTATAAACCCTTCTAACAGCAACAATGACTGGGCGTATCATATTGTTATTACTGGTGAGATGATCGTCTGTCTTTTACAAACTACATGAGTCACATCTCAATTTCATTTATTTAAATGTATGTCTAAGGCTAGCCTAATGAACATAATCCAGGTCTAAGTCTTGGTCTATAGCCAAATACCGTTAGACAATACAAGCATAGTGGTGGCCAAGATGGGAATAAGAATTTGTACCAGTAAGAATTTGTAATCGTCCTATAAGGCGCTCATGTCTGACAGCAAAGGTTGACCTTGCCTCTATGGCCATATTAAGTGTACATAATACTAACTGTATCTGGTTTCCTAAAAAAAAATCAACTAAGCCACTTTTGGTACAGCATTGTGGTCGTTATTAATTTTCCCTATTAAAATCATTATGATATTAGAACTATAGGCCTACGGTATATCAATATGATAAAGAAAAATAATATAATTTTCTAGAGAATCGGGGAAAAAAGGACATGATGTAGATCTATCAAATGAACAAATATATACAACCGTATAATATATTGTTTATCATTACATATTTCTGTATTCTTTTCTGTTTGTTGCCAAATCATTCTCTACCCTCCCTCTACATTTAATATGATTATCTACAGTAACTGTTGTCTTTTGTTGTATTTTTTTATGCACTTAATGTCTTATAGTTAATTAAAATATATAAATACTAAAAAAACGCTGTGTAAATTTTTGTATAAAGAGGTTATATATTCACGAAAACCTATAGGATTTGAATTCAATTTATCAAAAACGTGAGGAAAATAGATTGTTTTTCATTGACACGCAGATCCGTGCAGTGTATATGTTATGGTATTATTTGTCTATAAAATGCATAGGCTGTCTCTTATACACATCTTCCACCTGCCAGCAGTCTGAACTAGGTGGCTTATCTCAAGATGGGCAGTGTTTCTATAGTAACTAGGCCTGGCGCGCCACCGTATTTAACTTTCCTAATGCCTCTTTCCCTCCTTCACGAATTTTGCTACGACAGAGCACGATTTTTCAAATTTGGAAAATCGCAATGGCGTCATCGTAAATGTCGTGGTCAAAAATAATTCATTGTATTGCATCGTATACTGGAT